AACCCTAGCCGCCAGCCCCTCATTCTATTTATAATTAACTTAAATATGGGATATTACAAAGATTGGTTTTGTATGGGTTTCTGTTTTCAAGCGTAGATTTTTGAAACCTAATAGTTGAGCTCCCTCTTGAATTGGACTGATTGAGCAATCTAGATACTTTGACTAAGGGACTGAAAGTATGGCATTGAACTTAACACAAGAAAGAAACTTCCCTGTATGTATGAGTAAACACCTTGGCTTTTCCAAGTTTTATTTTGTCATGGTTTTACTCTATTAACTGTGTTAAAATATTGGCATGCATGCTTGATCTAAAAAGGGTTGGATGGATGGACTTCACTCAATTTAACTCTTTAATTATCTACATCTGAAGCTTGTTAACACTTGATGTGTGCAGATGACCTATTTGGAAGAGTGGTCCCTTCTGGATAGAGACCACTCAAATTCTTTATCAGGTGCTATTGAAGCTCTCAAGGCTAGCACTCTCCGCCTCCCAGTTGTCGGTGGAGCAAAGGTGTGTGTCATGAGATTTTTAAATGAGGTGTACCTCAAACTCCCCATCGATTGGAAATATGATGCTTGACAAAACTTTTCTATGCTCTTTCTTTTTGCAGGCAGATATCCAAAATGTGAAGGATGCTGTTGGTTCAGCAGTTGATGTTATGCAGGCAATGGCATCCTCAATATGCTCTTTGCTGTCAAAGGTAAAGCTAATTGAACTGGTACTGGAGTTGGCTGTTAAACATATCAGATTCAAGTTTTTGGAATGTTAGAAGAAGCAAGTTTTATTTGTACACTATTTAATTGTCCATGTCAAAGCATTTTTCTGGATGCAGTAATAGCTATCATCCTTGTTTAGCATATTGCATGGTATGCTTTCTGACCAGGATTCTAAATTCTGGGAACATGTTTGAATTTCAAGATTCTGTACCCTTTGGGGGGTGATTGGATAAAACCCTGAAAAATAACGGAAATATCTATGGCTCTGACCTAATATGGATAGACAATAGGAAAATATATTTAGGTATAAAAGAAATAGAGAAAAGGTAGTAGATGTAAAATGAAGTAAAAGAAGAATTAGTAGAGGTTTAAACTTTTTGGTTTTTGTATTATTTTTCTTTGTATTTCTGGATCAGGCTTAACTTTCTTGAAATTCCATCAGAACTTTGACCAACATTCCTAGTCAGGTCAGAACTAGTAACCTTATAAATATCATCCGTGTTCTTTTTTTATCAGTTACAAAATTCTTGATTTTTTTAATCAGTAACAAGTAACCTTATAAATTGGAAGAGAAAAGAGGAGCATACTAGCAGTTTGTACCACAGTGAAGGAGATATGAGCATAGGATACATAAAAGAGCCACCCAACAAAAAAAGGAATAACCACGACTATAAGGACTAGCGACATTGAAGTTGGCCAATCTTATTTGGAAACCAAAACTCTGACTTGGTGTCGTAAGTCCAATGTTTCACATAGAGAAAGGATGCGAGGAGTTGTACATGCTAAGGCATGTGGCATAAACCTGCAGTCTCCTGAGCATTGATTACTTTAATTAATAAATAATTAAACTAATACAAAATAACTAAAAATATGGTAAATATCCCATACAAATAGAAAATTTATGAGAAATTAGACATTTTTATGTTTGCAGTTTCTAATAATATAACCATCACATTTAAATAGAGAACTGAAGTATACCTTCCATAGTTATATAAGAATCATAACCAATCAATATCACTTGGAAAGTTGCAAATCAAAATTAGAATTAACACTTCATAGTTTCACATAAATTGCACAACATTAACATAAACAAGTGTGTCTCTCAAACATGCAGCAGTAACTATCATTTGCTAGAACATCATCAGTATTGATTTGATATTTAACAAGCCTATAGTATGTGGGAAAACGTGTTTTTTTTCTAATATGTGGGAAAACTCTTCCTATAGGTTTCTGGCCTTTAAGAATCTTGTTGACATGATGCCCTGTCAATGCACATTTGACACACAATAGGTCACATGAGAACTTGTATATCTTGTTTTACTTCTGAAGTGTAACAAGTGTGTCATTTGCAGTTTGGTTATGACCTGCTTAGATTTGGTGCATAAATGTGCTTATTTTTCTACTTACATTCATGTGTTTAGGTGTCTGTGTTTGTACATATTTATATATATGGGTTTCTAGATTTTGGGGCCTTACCATGTTACATACATGTCTGCGTAGGGAGGTGGCATTTGTGTCTTTAAAGTACAAAGATCAACATATTGTTTATACAAATTGATCATGTTAAGTGCCAAACATTAGGAATTTAGTCCACCCCTCCCAAGACCCCAGATAGCTAGGACCATCATTGGGTAATGGCCTTTTTACAGCATGATACAAGTATGTGTATGTTCGGGATCCCCTACTTTTACTCTCGTCTTTTTTATTCTCTACTTTCTTCCACTAAAGCAAACCTTAACTTGTTGTTTTTTGATAACTTTAACAAGAATTCTTCTTTTCCTGAAACCATCATCATCTTTTCATTCAACTTCATCTAAGCCTTGTCCCAACTATATGGGTCGGCACATGAATCATTATCGCCATTTGTTATACTAGCCCTTGGCACTTCTAGCCCTTTCAACTTGCCAACAGTTGGCTGTTTCTAATGGGTGTTGTAGATGGTCTTTTATGCATGCGAACAAACCATCTAGTCTACGTTTCTCTCATTCTTTCACCTATTGGAGGTACTTCTAGCTTCCTTCAGTTGACTTCATTTCTGACCCTATCCTTTCTAGTTTTTCCACAAATCCATCTTAGCGTAAACATTTCTGGCACTCATTTTTTTGACATGTTACTTGATTGCCCAACACTTAGCTCCATTCAGCACTTGTGGCCTTGTTGCTATTTCATAGGATTTTTCTTTTAATCTTAGTATTCAGCTATCATGTAAGACCCCCCCCCCC